ATTCAGTGATGGTGATGATGTTATATATCCTGAGGAAATTAGTCCAAATGCCGTGATAATTTTCGATGACGTTGTATCATGTGATCAAAATATCATAAAAAAATATTTTTGTTTCGGTAGACATAAGAATACCGACTCCTTTTTCATAAGTCAGACTTATTCTGCCATATCCAAACAATTATTGAGAGATAATGCAAACCTCATTATTGTATTTCAATCAGATATGACTAATTTGAAACATATTTATGATGATCATGTCAATATCGATATGAATTTTACACAATTCAAGGAAATTTGCGCATTCTGTTGGTCGGATAAATTTGGTTTTCTTGTAATAGACAAAGACTGCCCTATGGATGCTGGCCGATATAGAAAGGGCTTCGACATTTTTATAACAATATAAATATACGTTTCATAGATTCCGGCAACAGTTCGACACAAATCTCACATGATGAATCATCAACTCGCCGAAGAATTGGAAAAAACCAGAGTTGCTTTGAGAAAAAAGTATAGACTATTGAAAAGTGATATTGCACAATCTGAAACGAATTTAGAAAAAACATACAAACCATTGACAGAACCGCTAAAAAATTTGATATCAAAATTGGAAATACCACGAGAAATCAAAACTGAGTATAAGACATCACCTAAATCATCACCATCAAGGAATATTTCAACAAGTTTCCCAAATTATATGCGACAATCAATTTTTGCGTCTAAACCTGAAACATCATTTTCTTATGATCCATCTATAGAAGATGAAGGAAGTTTTTTCGATGAAACAGTGTATAATAGACCTGAACTCGAATTACCATCAGATATTGAATTAACGCCTGGTTACCTGAAAGAATTGGAGCAATATGCAATGCCTCTACCAAGAGCTTACATTCGGGAAAAAATTGAAACCAGTAATAAAGATTTCGATGAAACGTTCGGAATTTTCTATGATGTGATGACCAATAAATTTTCCATTGGTGATTCCCCTATAAATTTTGATAATGCCAACCCTATCATTAAAGGAAAAAAGTATCCTGGTACAGCAGGCCTCTATGAACTATTGTTCAAAAAAAGGCCTCTTGGATACAAGTCAGCAGATCTTGATAATTATATTGATATATTGAAAAAAACGAATGCTATATATCTCGGTCACGATCCCTCACGAGGTTTGTCTACATCAAATTCCGATAAATTCAAAAATATAATTAAGCCTAGAGTGACTAGTCTACATTCTATGGCTCTAGATATGGCTGCACAGAAAGCATCTGAGAAAGCTGCTAGTGTTGCAGAAAAGGTCGCCGAACGTGCTGCCGAAAAAGAATTTCAAGCCATTATTGCCAAACAAAAAACTCCAGCAATACCGAGGCTAAGAACTGGATCTCTATCTCAATTACAAGTCAGGACTAGAGCGAGAACAGGTTCTTTACCTAAGAGTGGTAAAGGTTTAACCTTGATGGATCTCAATGAGAAGGCAATTGATTACAAACATTTCGATGATTTTAATGAGTTGGTGGAAAGACTAAAATTATTAGTTGCATCTCAAATGGCTGGAAATACAAACGTTCACAACGAAATTGTCTCGATTGTTGAGGAGCTGCGTGAAGGTGGTATAATCAAATAAAAAACACCTACTGATATAAATCAAGTCATTATCTATTAAACAACCAAATATGCCACTACATAAATTTGGGAGCCATATTCTCCATAAGCAACAATCTGCTGCACCACAGTCAGTTATAATTTGTGAGCCAACCACGTTGACGAGTGTTTGCTTATTAACAATCAGAGGAACAAGCGGAAATCAAAAACAAAGTGATTTATTTGTCGGTAGAGACTATTTACATGCGTTCGTTCTAGAAAACAACTTGTCTATTTATGAATTCCCACTCACTCTGGGTACTATAATAAGTATACGAACCTATCCTAAGGATATCGAAATAGTATTAAATAACAAAACATTAACGGATGATATATCAGGAAAAGTATTGAAACAAGGTGATAAACTTAGTTTTGCAACACTCAACCCTAACTCTGAACAATTATTTGTTGAGATTGTTCTGCAGTGTCCTTTAAATCAAAGTGATGAGTAAAAAACAATTGGTAGAGGAATTACATGCCCCTGCAAGAAAAAATTTTAGAAGGAGACATGTTATTATCAAAGGTTTAAAGGATCTAGTTCAAGCTGATTTAGTTGAAATGATACCATATGCAAATGTCAACAAAGGATATCGATATATACTAGTTGTAATTAACGCTTTTAGTAAATTTGTCTGGATACAACCAGTTAAACGAAAAACAGCTAAAGATGTTACCTTTGCTATGAAAACTATTCTACATCAAATGAAATACAAACCAAAAAATTTACAAACTGATCAAGGTTCTGAGTTTTATAATACGGAATTTAAAAATTTGATGGAAACATACCAAATAAATCACTACAGTACATACTCCACTTTGAAGGCTAGTATTGTGGAAAGAGTCAATCGTACTTTGAAAAATCTAATGTGGAAGCGGTTCAGTTTTCAAGGATCATATAAATGGTTAGACATTATTCCAGAAATAGTTGAACAATATAATGACACAAAGCATTCAACAACTGGTATGAAACCAAGTAAAATTAATATGTCAAATGAAAAACAACTTCTAGAAACAGTCTATAGTCGTTTGAAAACAATTGACCCCATAAAAAACAAATTTAAAGTGGGTGACTTTGTTAGGATAAGTAAATACAGGGAGCAATTCGCAAAAGGATATACACCCAATTGGTCGAATGAAGTTTTTAAAATCAAAAAAGTCAAAATTTCCAACCCAACAACATATTTCTTAGAAGATCAGAGTGGTGAATTAATCTCCGGAGCTTTCTATTCTGAAGAACTGCAAAAGGCTAAATATCCCGATGTTTATTTAATTGAGAAGGTAATAAGAAGAAAAGGAAAGAAACTGCTGGTGAAATGGTTAGGTTTCAGTAATGCTCATAATTCCTGGATAAATGAAAATGAATTGATTTGATTAGGTTAACAAAAATAAAACGCTTTTATTCAGAACATGTTATTTTATTTCACAAAATCTTTTTTCGAAAAATATCACATCTATGGTTTGCATTAAAAAATATGTTATTTGATTTCACAAAATCTTTCTTGAAAAATATTACATCTATGGTTTTCAAGCAAAATAGGTGAAATTAAATTAGAGATCTCCTTTATTCTCTTACGAAAGCGCATTCTATCTAGAGCTAACATATGCCAACGTCCTTTCCTAGCTGAGTTATAAGCGAAACTCCAAACCACCAATAACTGAATAGAATCCTGATTGCTAAATGTCACTTGTTTCATCCTTGCACTAGAGTTTTTCGAATACGTCTGGATACATGTGAATCAATTCCATAGCCATACATACATTTTCACTGCTGTAGTTGTGATTCTCACCAAGCAAATTTGTTGCGGCAGTGAAGACATTTCCCCCAATGGTCTGAACACCTTTCTGGAGATTCTTGATGTAGTTAGAAAATCCCTGCCTTTTAAACATTTCAGTTCTATACTTGATGAGTGGAAGCAGTTCCCATAGCTTGCACACCGATTCATACCCCAAGTAGATGTATGAATCATTCTTGATTATTTTAATAACCCTATTGTAGGAAATTTGTTCAAATTCTACACAAAATTTTCCTGTTTTTATCGGTTCAGCTTTATCATTGGTATATAAATAATTGGTGATTATACCTTGATATGTCAGGAAATTATTCCATTCATCTTCATTGAAGATTATCGATACATCACTCTTGCAACCACTCAGCTTTATACATGGTGTATAACATGATTCCAACACAAGGCCCACCGATACAAATTTTGACTTAGACTTATTCAAGTGGTATCTCCTTTCACCAAGAATCACTAGCTCATTTTTGATCGGAGGAACTTCCTTGATATTATCAAACAAGGAAAATTTCAGTTCGGGAAAATAATCACAGTTTTGAGACATTTCTATTGAACTTGATACTGCAGAATGACTTCCGGAGGATTTATATTGGCATTTAATGGGGATTACTGTTACAAAAGTCTCCATACACCTGATAGGTATGAATTGATGTAGGAGGAGGTGCGTTACAAAACTCTCATAGCAAGTGGAGGTCTGGGGGTGTCGTTACAGAACTCTCATAGCAGGTAGAGGTGTGGGAGGTAGCGTCACAGAACTCTCATAGGATTTGGGGCGTTCGTGGGGGGTGCCGTCACAGAACTCTCATAGGGGGTTGGGTGGGGGGTGCCGTTACAGAACTCTCATAGGGGGTTGGGTGGGGGGTGCCTAGGGTGGGGGGTGCCGTTACAGCCCTCTCATTTATCCCCTACTAGCATCGGATTATCTAACAAGCTTTTGAACAAAAGAACACATACAACTGGAACTCTACGAAGTAATAGGTCTGGAAATCCCAAAGAAGTGACGACTGCAAAATTGAAACGGGATGAGCATGTTTGGCGACGTTCGAAGAATATTTACGTTTCTAAATGGAGAGATAAACGAGATGTTCTAACTATCTCAACTGCATATACTCCACAAATGGTGGAAGTAGACAACAGATATGGAAAGAAGAGAAAGAAACCACTGGATGTTGCAAAGTATAATGAGAACATGTCTGGCGATGACAGATCAGATCAGATGATAAGTTATTATTCCTGTCCAAAAAAAACTGTGAGATGGTACAAAAAAGTGATATTCCATTTGTTGGATATCGCTATGTGGAATGCTTTCTATATTTATAAATACAATCTCGACAAGAAACCCAGTTATTCAAATTTCCGAGAAGAAGTGATAAGAGAATTACTAGGAATAGTAGGAAAGGGAGATGGGAGAGAATTCATGGCCGAGGTACCAGTGAAAACCAAAAACAAGAAATTGAGACGAGGTGGTACAGAAAATCACATCTTGGAAGCAATTCCTTTTCCAGACAATTCAAGAAGAAGAGGCAATAAATACTATAAGAGATGTAGACAATGTTCTGCCATGAAAAAAAGCTTAATTCAAAATTCCACTACAATTTATTAATAAGATCATCGATCAGCAACATATCATTTATCTGAATTTTTTCAGCATGCCTTTTGTTCTTGTTTTCTTCGATGATTTTGCGGCTTTCTAGAATTGCTGCTGATAATTCGGACAGCCCGTCGCTGGACTTGCGCTTCTTTGGTGTGGAGGGAGGCAATGATTTCTGGGAATCTGTGCTTGCTTGACTAGATTCACTGGTTGTCCTCAGCCTGCTATTGAAGCAGGATGATGAGGCTAATGCAACCTGTTGCATGAAAGGACGCTCACCTATCAGTGATTGCATAAGCTCACAGTATGGCTAGGATCTTGGATTGTTCCCAGACTTTGAGTTATGATCACTGATAGCCTGAAAGTCATTTTCATGCAATTGAATTTCGATAAACATTGAGGACCAGACACAATATGATTGTTTTCCTCCATCACCTTGGAGATTTTCTCCCAGGTCATCTTCTGGGAGACTTTCCCACTTGTGAAGTCTGCTTCGTAAGACTTGTAGGTATACACAAGGAGAAGAATGGCTTCATTGGACCACTTGAAGCAAGTTGTAGCCTCCCCACTCACTTCTCCAGAGCAGTAGCTGCTGCTGGCTGCACTGCCAGGGTCAGTAGGTAACTGCATCAAAGGCAATGGTTGTACTGTAGGCTCTGGTTGTACTGCCGGCTCTGGTTCAGACCCCCCCATCATGGCCACCTCCATGAGCTGCTGTGCGAATGCTAAGTCTGGAAATACAACAAAAAAGATATGGCAATCAGATCACACATAATACACAATGTGGAACTAAGGAAAGCGCATCAGCTGATTCAAATATATCTACTCGATTTTCTCTGGATACATTAACACATGGAGAACAACAAAATCATTATTATGAACGACTCACCACGACCGAATTTTAAATATAAATATAAACAACACCTCCTTGAACAATCTTGAACAATTTTGATGCAAAATTTGATTAATCTATTTTTATATATTTTGTATATCTATATTGTGTTTTTATCATATAATAGGGTTGTGATTTATTAGTACCTTATCTTGTATATTGATCTAAAATCATGAATTGCACTTTTTTTTCTTTTCGAGGCAACTACTAAGACCAGCAAGCTTTCGAGCAATGTTGTTAGTGGTCTCTTTTATGGTTCATAACATTATTGTATTTTCATGTTTTTATGTCCCTTATATTTATATTTTCTTTTTCAATTTGAACTACGAATAAACTATTATTATTATCATTACTGGCACGTTCGGCGTCCTCACAAAACATTTCACTATGACATTGTTCCCCATACCGTCTTCCAAATTCATAGTTACGAGATTAGAAAAAGCCATTGCTCATCAGTTTGGAATTTTCTCGCGCGAACGAGATTTGTTTTGTTTACTTCTTCAGATCTTGGTTGTTTTACTGTGATCATCCGCGCTTCAGCAGTTTGGAGAGTAACAAAGCGCTGATAGCATTCCGTGCTCTACCTCTCTGAAATAGCGCCCGTAGAGGGATGTAATGATTTGAAACTCTATAGATAATGACGTCAGCAAGCGCGCATATAGCGCTACGAGCTCTCTCTCTCCGAATGACTTCAGCGCGCTGTGAGCGCCAAAAGCGTACTCTCCGAACGCAGGGTAACTGGGACTCACAGTGATACACAAGTTCAGGGATAACAGAAAAGAAAATTGGATACTAGAAATGAACCCTCCGTTATTTAAATTATTGATAAGAACAGAAGTAATTACAATGGATCTAATGAGACTATACATAAAAGAGAATAAAGACATATCGATGTGTTTTAACTGCTGTGGATTTAATCATTCTGCAAAGAAATGCACACAGCCTGAAATTTGCTACAAATGCGGGCAAGGCCACAACGCCAAAGACTGTACGAACGACGAATTAAACTGTGCCAATTGCGAGAAAAAGAATTACCAACGAAGGAGACACCCTGCAAGAGACACGAACTGCCCGGTATACACGAGAAGAGTGGAAATGGAAACACGTAGAACAACCTACCAATGACTAATAGAAAACAAGGAAAGAAAAAAAACTGGAAAACATAGAAAAACCATAAAAGACAACAAAAAAAAAGAACGAAACAAACAAGGCAACTAAGAAACAGGAACAGCAGACGACAAAACCCCTGAAGATACTCCAATTCAACATGGGAAGAGGGAGAGCGGCAGAAAAACAAATGAAAATATATATAATGAAAAAGGAAGAAGATATAGTATTAATACAGGAACCCTATCATGAAATAACATCACCACACCAATACAACTTACACTGACACTCACACAAATCAAAAACAGCAATGCTAACAAAAAACTCCACAAAACTGTCAAATAAAATAACAGAAATAACGAATGAGAACACCATAGGGATAAAAATCGAAACTAAGACACACGGAGAAAAAAAATCACTAGCCCTAAGCGAATATTTAATAGTGGCAAGTAAAAACTTGTATACTATATGGGACAAGGAAACAAGTTAATTACCACAAGTATATTTGGGTTCTTGAAAATGATCACTTACCACTACTAACCTGTTTCAATAAATTTCAGATTGATACCCATTAGTGTACACATCACTTGCCGTGTATCATTCAACTCACTAATGGCAAGTGGACTGTGTACCTATCATTAGTATATACTCTGATTATCACTATTAAACTAGTTACTAGCCCTAAGTGTACTGAATCTATAAATCAACCTATATAACTTCTTTCCCATACCTATCATAAGTATACTTTTCACCAACAGTTATATAGCTATTCACTTGTTATAAGTGACCAATTCACTTGTCATTAGCTACTTACTCACTTGCCATGAACTATCTGTTCACTTGTAACTAGCGATCTATTCACTTGTCACTAGCGAGTCATTCACTTGTCAATAGCGATATACATTCTTCACTAGCGAACTATTCACTTGACACTATCGATCTACTTACTTGTCATGAGATAGTTATTCACTTGTCGTAAGCGAGTTTTGCACTTGTCACTAGCGAGTTTTTCACTTGTCACTAGCGAGTTATCCACTCGTCACTAGCGAGTTATTCACTTGTTACTAGCGAGATATACACTTGTCACTAGCGAGCTACTCACTTGTCATAATTGACCTATCCACTTGTCATAAGTTAGTAAATCAGTTGTTATTAGTGAGTTATTCACTTGTCACTGGTGAGTTATTTGCTTGGAAAACGTGAATTATTTGCTGCTGAAAGAAGTCAACGCAGTTCTGCGGAAAGCGAAAATCCTAACAATATACAGAATCATCTCACTTTTTGAGCTATAAACATAACTCATTATTTTGCAGAAGCTCACCAAAACTAATATCTCATTCAACTACATAGGAAGCTTGATATATGTTATGGGAGATTTTTTCAAAATAAAGATTTTGTTATGGCATCAGCGTTAAAAAAGTATAGTTTGAACCCATATTGGTAATTTATCGCTTTCTGGAGAGCTGCATTCAATTATCAAGTATTCTCTGCAAAAATAATTGTTATATTCAAAACACCAATTGATGATAATTGAAATAGTAATAACTATATCATGTCAAATATTATTTTCCGAGAAAAGAAGAAAATAGGATTTGAGAAATTATTAGCTTGGTTAAAAAATAATTCATGCATATATGTATATAAAACATTTATTATATGACCAAGTACAAACATTAAGATACAAATCACCAGGTTTATCAGGCTCATCATACACTATCTTTTTCTTCCATTAGAATTAACCTACATGAGTGGAATCATGCATAAAAAAAAAAACCTTCATACTTTTTGAATTCTGGTATCACCGAAAGTGGTAATTGAAGATTTAAAGTTAGCGGCTACTTCTTCCGGTCATACCGGTATATATCAAAAAATTAATTTTATGGAGGTACAAGATGTTCTAATTTTAAATATTTATGTTGAAAATTGAAGAAAAGAAAAGAGCACCATGATCCTAATATACCTTGGTTCATAAGGAACATTAAGAAGTGTCATAAACTTAAATAAACATTCAATTCACAACCGCAACCATACAGGGTGAGTCACGAGTAACGAGACGAGATTTACAGCGTTACGGCGGAATTTTAGAATTATCGTCACTGAGTCGTATGTTGATGAAGGTTACATTTTGAAATTATTTTGAAATATACAGGATGTCGTGTCGTGTCGAAACTATCCCTTATTGGTCAAAAAGGCTTTCATGTCATTTGTTTCAATGAAACGTCAGTAGACGGTAATTCGAAAGTTTGAATGGGACAGGTAAGCTGTTTTGACCAATGAGTTCGACACGAAAAATTCCCTAAGGTAAAAGTGACCAAATTTTCAAAAATTTTGCCGTTTCGTTATGAATCGCCGTTCCGTTACTCACCCTGTATAACTCACAATAATTAAGTATACTAACGAGGAACATAACAATTTGAACTTGACAATCACCAAACATCGTACATTCTAACAGAGTACAGGGTAATCCGTTTAGTATGATTCCTGAATATTTTTGTGGTATAAAAACAATATCAACCAAAATGTCTTAGAATCAACTGACGATTTAGTAACTGATGTGGACACAAAATCAAAAATATATTCTTAATCTAGAAATAATATTATGAATATCCCTGTACTTGAAAAAAAAACAAACTCAAGAGGAACTAAAAAACAGGTACTCAGTTATACACAATACACATACATGTAGTGATACAGTGTTTTCCACATAAAATGTGCCATCCTCTTATCTAGAAATCTGTAACAGATAAAACGAAATGTAAAATGTGAAATTTGTTCACAGTCATACATACTTCCTTTTTCATTTGATATCAACTATACAGGGTGATCCATGGTTTTGTGACACACCAAACATTTTCCATTCGAAAACATCTATGTTTGGTGTGTCACAGAAATATGGATCACCCTGTATAGTCGATAGTAACTGGAAAATGAAGTACACATTACTGTGAACAAATTTTACAGTCACTATTTGGTTGCATTTGTTTCAGATTTCTAGATAAGGGAGATGTCACATGCTATGTGGGGAACACTGTACATAATATCTAGGATTTCAGATAAAAACATCACTAGAAACAAGTAATATACTTTTTACCATTCGAATGTTTGGTTAAAGTAACATGAGGATAATAGACATTAGTATAAGAAATACATTCCAATATATCTGTTAGTGAGACTTCATAAGCAAACATATGTTCACTAAATTGTATTACATCAATTTTTTTAAATACAAAACACACATCATTTTTTTCATTCACTAATATATGTGACAATTCTTTGAAGATAGGTGAATTCCCTTTTTCAGTTAGTAAAATATTACCAACCATGAAATCAGTATTATTTATATTTATTTTTTTACAAACGTGAACCTGTTGGAAAGATTGTGAGTTGAAATTTGTTTTCGTAAGTGTATCGAAATTTGGTATTACTGAATATACATCATATAGTTTATCTTTAGTATAATTAATCGTATCTTCGAAACCTTTACATGATATCAATCTGTGACATAACTGTAACTGGCGTTTGATAGCTAAAGTTTTAGTTATGTTTACTCTCGAGGAAACTACATTGGCTGATTGTTTAGATTCCCTATGTTTTGATTCGTACCTAAGAGTAGAAAGATAACAAAGTGGCCCACTTTTCAACATTACATAAGGATAGTGAGTTAGATTATGGTGTTTCGGTTTCAAAGTTAAATTGAATACTTTTTGATAAACTGCATGATGTTCACTTACGATTTTTTTTAATAGAATCGATTTTTCCTCTGATACATGTGTAGCCAAGACAATTGTCAAAATTTGTCTCAGTAATACATATACTTTCCAAAACTTATTATTCAATGGAACAAGGTTTCCAAATATTAAGCCAGTATATAATATCAGAGTTTTCATTTCAGCACAAGAAATATTGATTTTTTTTTTCTTCAAATTATCGGAAGCTATAAGTGGCGGTTTATTCATATTATGTTTTCCATATTCAAAATACTTCAAACGTGAATTCAATGTGTCGATTGATATGATTTTATCAACGAATACAAATTGATGAAAAATTTCTATGAAGTCAAAGAGTGCCACACCTTCAAAAATGTCGTGTGCGATATCCACTGAGAAGTTCTCAGTAACATGAAAAGAAGGAATTTCATTCCATATACATTCTTCTTTGATACCTGTTAGAGTGACATTATCAATTTGTAGATCATCCTCATAATTAGTTTTAGTCCTAAGCTTTTCATCAATTTGCATACAGTTTGTCTGCATTTCACTACGATTACTTTTACAAAATCTACAATAGTAGTTTGCCCGAAAACTTTCAGTAAATCCTAGAATCATGTTCAAGCCTAAATTATCTCCAAGAAAAAAACAAATACAGAAATAAATAGTTTTGTTGCCTTCATTAGTTTTTACCGAAATTCCATGTGATTGTAAAGAAATTAAGTCCTCAATCAACTTTTTGAAAATGACGTTGCCACCAAATTCTTTCAAATCTGCACTATGAAATAACATCGCTAAGAATATATTTTCTAGTTGAGCCAGAAATTTGTTGGGTATACAAGGAATAGAATAATATATAGCTCCAATTTTATGAATACCAGCATGAGAACCTAAAGGATTCCCACTCTCATATTCATCAAAATATACGAATAAGGGCAGTATAATATTTTCATCACAGGATATTGCATGAACCTTTGATTTCCAGAACTGGGTCTGGATTATATTTGAAATGGTTGTTTCAGAATTAAGTTTTCTAATATTTCTCATAGTTTCAGTGTATACAGATGGTAGTTCAAATACTTTTTTGAGAACCTTGTTCAATGGAATAACTTGACTTGTATAAGTCTTAGGCAATCCAACTCCATTATGTATCTTATCTAAACGTTCACCAATTATATAATCAATAGGTTTAATATAATACCCAGATTCTTCAAAATGTTTTAGTCTGCTATACTCATTATCGATTCCTTTGAACATATTTTGAAATGTATCAAGATAATGGTCAATCAATATACGACTCGGCCTAGTGATATTTGAATCGTCAACTATACAAGATAAAAAGTGTTTAAACATTTCAAACGGTTCATTAAGTAACTCACCTACACTGTTCATTATTAGCTGGACATCTTTTCTTGAAAACGTATTATTGGCATAACATTTTGATATGAAATGTAAAGAACGTTCCTCAATGATTTTTCTGAATTGATCATGATTGTTGTCATTGGAAAAAGCCTGGCTGGCATCACCTGTTTCAAGTATATCCGAATTGTTTATGAATTCAGCTTCATCATTTTCACAAATATCAGTATCAACATGAACGTTGTTTGATATCTCCGAATGAGACATCAACGATTTCCCTCCTATTGAAGGTGCAGAATGGTCATGTTTTTTTAAATGCTTCTTGAATGAATTTAATGAAGAGAAATTTCGAAAACAATTTTCTTCAACACATCTATAATGTGATAGTTCATTACTATCATGAAACAATTTCATGTGTGTTATCAAATTTTTTATGTCCTTGTAAGCTGTTGAACAAAAGCTGCAAGTAGGCATTTTATTATTAATATCATAAAATCAATTGACTCCAGATTTTGAATTTCGATTCCTTTACATATGCTATGTGAAAATCACCAATTGATGTTATGTTTACTAATAATTAGACCCTGAAAACAGAAATAATGAACCATTTGAATGTCTAACATAATACTCAATTCAAATGAAATTTTATGTCAGCAATTACACATACAGTGCTACTTGTTTTGCTAGTAGCTGGCATCTGGAATACCATGTCTTGGATGAAATGCCAAATATGTTTGCACTCACATGGGTATTCTAAGTTCAGGGCATGAAATATTTTGAATAAAAGTTCCAGACACCTTATACTGGATATACATTTGTACTTGTTTTCATTGAAAACTATGTGGCAGCTGATATCATTGGTCTCACCAGCTATGACTGCAAAAGGTTGAAGTGGTAAATTGAAATTGTCTAACTTAGCCTTTCTCCTATCGACAATTTCAGCAACGTCATCCAAATTCTGAAAGAAAAATGCAAGTCAAATACATACTGGGTGAGTTTGTGTCAGGAGAACAACCCAATACCCTTGACAGAGATTATTATAGTATAAAGGAGATTTCAATTGAGAAACTGGATAATATCAGTTGGATTATTGATTATAAAATATTACTAGTATGTATTCCATCTGAATTCATCTTTTGTCTTTTTCCTGTCATATGTAAGTTATTTTTAGACGGATTTTCATGTTTGAACTCTGGTTTTGTTCAGAAAAGTCCACGCTCTCAAAATATCATACGAAAAAATATACAGTGTGACTCAAAACAACCCTATATATATATATATAGTTAGGAGGAGGGTAGTCGTGACTGACTATAGTTAAGGTAAAAATACATCAACTTTAGAAACAGGAAATCTTTCTAGGTGAGGTTGCAGTCAAAATTTTGGCCTTAATGAGAGGACTCTTTGTTACATAGCCGAGCTTTCGGAAATGTTTATTTCCTTCATCAAGACATCTATAAAAAATGGGTAAGTGTAAAAACTTTGTCAATAATACATTTAAAAAAGTACTTACTAACGTGAGATTGGTGTAAAACACAATGAAATACATAACAGTTGCATCTTCAGCTGAATTTGACGATGGAAACATTTTTTAATTTTATAATTTTAGGATAAAAAGCAATAGGAATCAATCCACAGGTTTCATTTCTTTTCCGTAACGGACCTTCGAAAACAAAATGGACGGTTGGAAGAGTCGGAAATGCCAACTACTTCGGTGGAAATCGTTTCAGACCGACGACCGTTGTGAGAGAAGAAAGGGAACCGTGGCGGTAAATTTGAAAATTAATTGGGTGGTGAGACAAGAAATTGAGGTTGAGGAATGGTTTGTGATAATCTAGATATGTTATTAGGTTAGGAATACAATTTTTTTGTTCTATTGCAAGTCAATAATTATAAATGCTACTCAAGTTGCCAATGTCTGTTCTTTTATTCATTTTCGAAAGTTCATTATTGATAAAAACCATTTCAAGGAAATTTCGTTTGAGATAATTATTTTCATGAGCTAAAATTTTGACATCATTGAAATTCATATGGTGACCCTCATCATTAACATGCTCTGCTAATGCACAAGTTCTTTCATTACATTTGCTGTCACTCTTATGTGAAATGTAATAAAAGAACTTGCATGTGCATTAGCAGAGCATGTTAATGATGAGGGTCACCATATGAATTTCAATGATGTCAAAATTTTAGCTCATGAAAATAATTATCTCAAACGAAATTTCCTTGAAATGGTTATTATCAATAATGAACTTTCGAAAATGAATAAAAGAACAGACATTGGCAACTTGAGTAGCATTTATAATTATTGACTTGCAATATAACAAAAAAATTGTATTCCTAACCTAATAACATATCTAGATTATCACAAACCATTCCTCAACCTCAATTTCTTGTCTCACCACCCAATTAATTTTCAAATTTACCGCCACGGTTCCCTTTCTTCTCTCACAACGGTCGTCGGTCTGAAACGATTTCCACCTTTAGTTGGCATTTCCGACTCTTCCAACCGTCCATTTTGTTTTCGAAGGTCCGTTACGGAAAAGAAATGAAACCTGTGGATTGATTCCTATTGCTTTTTATCCTAAAATTATAAAATTAAAAAATGTTTTCATCGTCAAATTCAGCTGAAGATGCAACTGTTATGTATTTCATTGTGTTTTACACCAATCTCACGTTAGTAAGTACTTTTTTTAAATGTATTATTGACAAAGTTTTTTCACTTACCCATTTTTTATAGATGTCTTGATAAAGGAAATAAACATTTCCGAAAGCTCGGCTATGTAACAAAGAGTCCTCTCATTAAGGCCAAAATTTTGACTGCAACCTCACCTAGAAAGATTTCCTTTGGAACTGTTTCTAAAGTTGATGTATTTTTATATATATACATATATTGATGAAATTTTGGTTATTGGTGATTTTGAAGGTGGCAAATGTCACCATGATGTTATTTTTGGCAAACTCCACGAGTGGGTACCTCATCTTTACTCTGTAAATTGTTAACTGTCGACATTTTACTGAAGTCATATTTGGCCAACCATCATATTTAATGTCAGTTTTCTACCATTGCTCTATGTACGATTCATTACAAATCACCCTATAGGTACTAATGAGGTAGTTTTAGGAATATAACTCATAGAATCTATGTATTTAATAGTAAATAGTACATAAACTGACCTTGACTCTGAAAATGAAGCTCTCCTGAATTTCACACCTAGTGGGTCTCCAGTTGGATTTGTTTTTCGAATTGCTCTTCAGTGTTACTGGGGTGAATAAATAGGGAAGGAGCAATAAAGCTCTCGTTGAATTATCTACAAATATATAATCCACATAAGTCACAGTACTGTGCAATCAAGGTAAAAAACGGTGAATATTCAGTTTGTGTATCATTACTAATTGGAAATATTTCAACTATAGAATCCTGCGCTCAAAATATGGAGAATCAACCTAAATCACCTTTTGACTACTAACACAGGCGTACGACGGGGTTGACCCTTCCCGAATTCTATGCCACTGAGATTTCTTCATAGTGATGAAGTCATTATTTTTGGAGATATTCAAGTTGAACATGAATTATTTCAATTTTGATGTGTATTATGTCGATGTTTTGGATTAATGGATGGCATTCATTAATTAAATGAAACTTCAATCCATATCAACATAAAAAACATACAGGGTGTTTTAAATGTTTTAATGTAATGAATAATGACAGATATCTCATATACATTATTTGAGATCAAAAGAAATAGGTCTTGAATAAGAAATTATATAGGGTGATTCATTTGAACAAAAACTGTCTATTCACATAACACGGGACCCATGAAGGTAATTGTATTTTGATATTGACTTAAACATTTCAGATGGAGAGCAAATTTTTTTCAATTTCATCAACTTTTTATCATAGCTTGTACCCTTGTACAGGGTGATTCACCATAAATGTCCCCCCCTCTAGCTCACTCATTTTTGAACCGATTTGAGAATTTGAAAAATAATCTGAAAGGATTCTTCAGAATTTTTTTCCCGTTGCATCAGAAAATACAGGGTGCTCGGAACAAACAATCTACAGAGTACTACTTGATTTTTTCAAATGGAACACCCTGTATTTCATTGTGTTTTCAGATTCTTCCTGAAGAGCTGATTTCATCGATACATCACACTTGGGGTCTAGCGGGAATGATTACAGAAATATAGGGTGTTCTAAATCGAAATTTTTCAACTTTAAGATTTTTTTGTGTCGAAACTATTCATTATTGGTCAAAACGGCTTCTATGTCCCCATCTCAACTTTTGATTTACTATCTACTATCTACTGACATTTAATTGGAACATTTACAGGGTAGTTCAAGATTCATAATTCTGATCACCCTGTATCTGTTCCAATCATTAAATGTCAGTAGATAGTGAATCAAACGTTAAGATACGGACATGAAAGCCGTTTTGACCGATAATGAATAGTTTCGTCACAAAAAAAATCTAAAGTTGAAAAATCTCAATTTTGAACACCCTATATCTCTGTAATCATTCTTGCTAGACCCCAAGTGTGATGCATTGATCAAATCAGCTCTTCAGGGAGAATCTAAAAATACAATGAAAAATAGGGTGTTCCATTAAAAAAAATCAAATAGTACCCTGTAGATCATTTGTTCCGAGCACCCTGTATTTTTTGATGTAGCGGGAAAAAACTTTATCGAAAATCATTTGAGATGATATTTCAAACTTTGAAATCTGTACAAAAATAACTGAGCTAGAGGGGGGGACATTTATGGTGAATCACCCTGTACATTCATATAAAAGGGTTTTTCCTGTATTAATGCAAATGGCTTCATGAAAATAATACTACTCCCTATTTATATAAATCTATCAAGGATGAAGTACCTACTCACCTAAATCTGTTTCAAAGTTGGGGTGAATTTTTCGTTCATCAACTTCTTTTAAAATTGCCTCTGATATCTTAGGCCACTCGCTATACACAACATCGATTTTATCTGTGAACATCTGATTATAATCAGATTCCAGCTGAAAATAAAAAAATGAATAGTACCTTTGGTGAAATTATATTCATGACATTATGCCACCTGGAGATTTGATAATATGAATTTATGGGTACAAGTTGTGATTTATTGAATTAAAGTGGAGTGAGTGATTTTCAAAATCAAACAGAATGCCTCTATACTATTCTCCCAGTGAAATTGTATAGCCTTATACAAAATTCAAATCAATTATTTCCACTATACTAGCTCTAGGTCTAGAGCACATCAATAAGCTATATATTCCACCTGAGAAATAATTGTTTAGAGATATCAGAAAGAAACCAAAATTGCACCAGAACCTTATAATTTTCCCAGACACAAATGAATGCCACTTTTCACATATTTCACAAGAAAAATGTTTCACATACTGAAGTTTTTTTCAAGAATGATCATTAAACAAACATCCCTCAAAACATCCTTACCAATTCAGCACCATAGCTCATTTTAAGGCAGGGAAATGCGTCCAGGACCTGCTGGATTCCACAATCCTTATACCTTAGTTTACGAACATTGAAGGTACTTTCCCATGCACTCAATACCCTTGGATAAGGTTCAGTTGCAGATCTCAAAAAAAGAATTTCACTTTCAATGTCCTCACTTATTGCTTGAACTGATTCTGAACAAGATTCAGATCCAGGTGATTCCATTATATTTTGGTTGGCAATTCTTAGGGCAGCCTTCACATTAACATAGCGAGACCAAAGTTTCCCTCTAGCGGGTCTCCTCAATCCTGTTTTGGGAGATGAATAGGGCATAAAGTATGTCTCTTTCATCTCTCCAGGAAACAAGAAAACTATTTCATCAGCTGCTGCATTGAATTTGTCAGCTTTCATACTACAAATATAGAAGAATAACAAATAAAAGTATAGGTTACTAGTATCTAAGTATCTCACTCTGATATTTTCTCTCCATTTGACTTCAGTAGTTCACTTATGACAATTTTACTCAGTTTTTGCCTCAGATCATTATTCAGCTTTTTTCTATTCATAAGAACTAATTTTCCATCTGGTGATCTTTGTAGTATATTTTCCAAACTCTGAAAAATGAATTTGAATTTTTTAAAGAGAAATGTATTCTCAGATATATTATGATGAACATGCAAAAAAAAAGGATAAATAAAAAGAAATACATTGAGACAATATTGTGAAACTCACATCTGAGAAAATTGTGCTTTTCTTCACTCTCTTTGGACTACAGAAAGTGAAATCTGATTCATTGGTGCTGGAGGGTGCACTTGCAGGTACCAGAGGTAATGGAGTTTTGAAATTTTCCAGCTCTGTATTTAATATGTTTGCCATCAGCTCTGGATCTGCCTCCAAGATGATATTACTTGTAGTACTATTACTGGACACTACAGAGGCTGTGTCTGTGGTCAGATCATCTAAATCACTCAAGAATCCAGTTGCCTGATGGCTTTGGAATTGTCTAAAGTTATTTTTAAATATAAGTTTTGGACCAATTTTCGAAAAAATTTGGTCAATTGTGGGATCGTCCAAAAGTTTGAAGCTTTCATCATCTATACCTTCATCTGGAAATAAAGCATTTAATTATTTCTTAGTCCTGATTTGAAACTGCAAATAATGAAATAATATACCATATAGGAATCAAAGCTATAAAAATTGAAATTTGAAAAGGAGCAAGTTCAAACTACTGGTCAGGGTTGGGCAAATCTTGATTTAAAAAAAAAAATCAAAAATCATTGATTTAAATAAAAAAAATCATGATTTTTTGGATGTTTTTGATTTTTTATTTATTTTGGTCTTAATGCGCGATAAATATAGGTCAACATTCATGTCCATTTTATAACTCGAAACTATTTTAATTTTGTGTATTTCATGAATTTGAATATTATAAAATTAAAACAAAATATAATTCACAAAGGAAGCCATTCTCAGTAGGACGATGTGGGTCGACCGACATGTCTGTACAAGAAAATTCCTGTAGCCTGTATATGTATATGTTTCAATATCCAGTTTTTTTAGGGGTTTTACTAGTTTTTTTCAGTTTAATATTTTTTATTATTCAAATAAATAATAAATGTTCTCGAAATTATTATTTTGATTTAAATTGTGATTTAAAAAAAAAATCACTTGATTTAAATCATGATTTTTATCTTGATTTAAATCAATTGATTTAAATCAGCCCAACCCTGCTACTGGTACAATCATGGAATATGGAATATTAAACACAGTAGGTAGGTATATTACCTACTATAACTAAAATTCCTAGTAAAATTCGAAAAAAACTTCAGAATGCATAGTTATTCAACAAAAACAATTATAGAAGAAATCGGAATCCTGGGCTCAGAAACACATGCAAGAAACTTGGTAGGATTATTTTTCTCCTTATTTGAATTAGGTCAGAATTAGGTTAGGAGGGTCATATATCATTACTAGAAGTAGAAAATACAAACATTGAAGGAAATGAGATTCACACATATATTGCTGCTATTCTGCACAACACTATACAGGGTCACTGATATGTATGGAACTCAGTATGGAAACAGGTGAATATCTTAGTAACCTGTTGTTGGATTTTTTTGAATTTATGAACTGTGTGATTTCGAAACGTGGCGGATTTGGAAATGTTATAGCCAATGTTGCCACTTTTTCAGTTATTCCGGATTTTTTATTAACTTCCTTATTTTGAATGAAACACCCAGAACTTTATTGAATTTTCAGATTCTCCTTGAAGAGCTGATTCCATCGATCTATCACACTTGGGGGTCTAGCGGGAATGATTACATAGGTATAGAGTGTTTAAATTCTAGATTTCTCAACTTTAGGATTTTTTGTGTCGAAACTATCCATTTTCGATCGAAACCGCTCCAATGTTCCTATATTTTTTTTTTTGATTTACAATTTACTGACATTTAATTGGAACAAATACAGGGTGGTTCAAGATTCAGAATTCTGATCACCCTCTGTATCTGTTCCATTTAAATGTCAGTAGATAGTAAATCAAAAGTAAAGATAGGAATATTAGAGCGGTTTTGATCGATAATGGATAGTTTCGATACAAAAAAATCCTGAAGTTGAAAAATCTAGATTTTAAACACCCTATACCTATGTAATCATTCCCGCTAGACCCCAAGTGTGATAGATCGATGGAATCAGCTCTTCAAGGAGTATCTGAAAATCCAATAAAGTACAGGGTGTTTTATTCAAAATGAGGAAGTTAATAAAATTCCGGAATAACTGAAAAAGTGGCAACATTGGCTATAACACTTTCAAATCCGCCACATTTTGAAATCACACTGCACATAAATTCAAAAAAAATCCAACGACTGGTTACCGAGATATTCACATGTTTCCATACAAATCAGCGACCCTGTATAGACTCTGTAGGTTATGTAATATTCCAAAGGAATATGGTTAATGAATTGATCTCTTCTCGAAATAGGTATAGTTCGAAAATCCCGCCACCGTGAACTCTCTTCTTCAAGTTATTTGTTTGAAAAATACTGTGGACATTGAATTGATTCGCTATTTCAATACCATTAGCTCTCTACTGTGCCATTCGATGATTCAAGTTCAAATCTTGGCAAAGCAATTTAAATCCATCACTTTTAACAGACTTGAATTGATTACCATAGTTAGGATCGTTCTGATTGGTCCAAAAACGCATCCGTACCGAAAGTCATGGTTATTTGAATTCATGCACAGAGGATGAAATATTATTTTATTCAGGCCACTTCAGGCCTGTTCGTTTGTATTGATAAACTTGTTAAAGTTGATTTTTTTCCCATGCATAGTTGTCTTCGTTGTCTCTAGCGTACATACATCGCTGTTGTCTTTGTTCATGGCATGATGCATTTGGTTTTAGCACCATGGCATGATGGAAACAGAGCAAGTCATGGAAAAAAATCAAGTTCAGCAGGTAGAGCAAGCATGAACAAACAGGCGCTTAGATTGACAAAATAGCAGCATAAGCAGATGATAAGCAGCAAAATTTATTGTATTGGTTGTTACTTTAGGTTTAGCTGGTTAAAAGAGTAAAAAATTCAAGTATGAGACAGGTACTTACTTTCGAAGTTTGGAATGATGGAAGCTAAACCCCATTGTTCTAACAGAGTTTTGTATTCCATTATCAAAATATCGCTGAACACTGAACAACACAATACCAAATAACCGTAAAAACACCCACAGCTCGATACACAGACAAACACAGATTCGTTTAACAACCCTAACGACGCGGTGAAATGGAATGAAATGAAAAATTCCATCCAAGTTAGACCTGAGTCTGAGATCACCCGAATCACATCGGAGATGTCCGAACGGTGGAGGAACGGTGTAGAGATGTATAACTACAGGTGAGTTGTCACCTACCCCAATCGACTTGATCGATTGTCTTTATCGATGAGTTCGCTCAGAGCAAGTGATTTTGTTTCAGGAAAATGATTTAATAGTGGTAGGTATTTGTATACCTAGTTCAAGTTTAGTGTTCACTCATGGATAGCGAACATAAAATACATATCGATTTGATGAATACCAATGAGTGTCCTGAGCAATTGCAGTAGAAACATCGTTTCAGAAATATAGTTTTGCCTACTCCAAGTACCAAATATTCCCACAATAGCTGAAAATTCACTAGTCACAATCGAGTTTTCTTCAGGAAAACAATTTACTTGGCCGAGTTTTCTCAGTGCAGGACCAATCACACTAATAAGCATCTACGACGAACCGGGGGGAAATACAAACACAAAAGTAGACGAACTCGGAGAAAAAATAGACAGGTTGAAAGGGAAGATCATTATAGGAGGAGACACAAATGCAAAAAACACAGCCTGGGGAGGAGATACAACAGATCAAAGGGGAGAAAAACTAATGGAATGAACAATTCTACACAATTTCATGATAGAAAATATAGCTGATGACAGCCCAACATTCGATTGTGAAAAAGGACGGAGCTGGATAGACATCACAATGACAAAGGAAATAGAGAACATGTCCAGAACTATAGAAACCGAAGAGACACTCAGCGATCACAAATATATCATGCTACAACTACAGATAAACCCTACAACACAACGACAAAAAACAACATTTAACCCGAAACATATAAACTGGGCCACCTTACAAGATAGGTTGAAATACAGGATACCAACAAAAACAGAAGACATAGAAAAAGATGCGTATAACTTATAAAAACACATAGTGATAGCTCTGGAAGAATCCATGACAAAAACCACTAGACCTCACAACAATAAAACATGGTGGAACGCAGAACTACAAGAGAAGAGGAAGGAAACAAACAAAGCTGGATGCAGATGGCAGAAAGAAAGAGATGACGCAGTGGAGGACGGCCTAAAAATAATATACACACAAACACGACACCAGTATAAGATACAAATAATAGAAGCAAAGAAACAAGCACTACATAAATATCTAGAGGAACAGAGACAAGACGACCCCTGGGGCACGGCATATAACATAATAAAAAGAAGAAAAACCTTGAATACAACACTAGGTACAGTACAAAGAGAGGATGGCACATGGACAAAAAATGAATCAGAAACAACAATACAGATGCTAAAAAACTACTTCCCGACAGACGACACGCAAGAAGACAATGACTCACACAAAAAGTCTAGAAGGCACAACTCAAAACTGAAAAACCTGCCACTACAAAGAGACAGAAACATCACTGAAGAAGAACTGAAAAACGTAATAGAATCGCTAAAAAAAAACAAAGCAACAACGGACAAAGGGATACCTAACGAGGCAATGACACACGTGAACGAGATATTAGGAGAACAATTACTCCAACTCTATAATGATTGCTTTAAACAAGGAAAATTCCCGAAGATATGGAAGAGAGGTGAAATAATATGGGCACCAAAACCCACAAAAGGACACCGGCCAATATGTCTACTTCCCACGTTAGGAAAAATATTCGACAAAATAATGACAAACCGACTCACATACCAACTAGAAACACAGGACAAACTTTCTAACACACAATACGGCTTCAGACAGGGACACAACA